TTCTTTACGATTGAATTTTAATTAAAAATAATGCGATTTTAGAAAACCTCTCGTTTCAAAAATTTGGAAATTCCATTACGATAAAAATATATGGTTCGAGGAGTCGCCACCAATCTTTGATTAGGGTGTGATTGGGCACCCAAAAACGTTATCATTTTAAATAAAAATTAATTTTAATTAAAAATGACAAATTTACAATCTACGTCACCAAAATCCAAGTTCGGGAGTCGGTTACGTGTGGGGAAGGATTAGAACCCCCACAACGCCCTAAATTGGTACCTAGTCGATTAATTAATGTATTTGCAACGAATTTCACAAGTTCGAGTTTAATTTGATTAATGATCCCTTTGAACAACAAAAATGCTAATTTTATAACATTAAAAAACAACGAAATAAGTTAAATTAAAATTACCAAGTCATTAGAAAGATAAAGGATATTCGATTATTTAAAAATATCGAGACCAGATCTTTAGGTGAGTTCTAACGATCTTTTCTCAAATAATTTAAATAGCCGAATATTTCTTTTTCTTTCATTCCCAAATTTTAAAGTGATAGATCCAAATTTAATTAGGCGTTACTGACGGGATACAATTTTAATTTAAAATTGTCAAAACAACTCTCTAGTAAGTTGAGAGAAGCCATTCCGACATTTTAAATTAAAAATATATTACCCTTAATCCAATTATGTAGCAAGAGTCGAATCATGCACGTGAGGCTATAATGCGAATCATACAAAGTGATGTTAATGCAAAGATCAATTAAATATGCGATTAAAGTAAATGAATTCAACATACTTATAAAAATAAATTACACCTACATCTATGCGAATTACAGGCTCAAAATAATATGCATGCATACACTTAAAATAAATCTAAATTAACCTAAAATATTAAACAATTGACTAAAATAAAAAAGTTAAACAACATGTTCATTTTCATAAAAAAATCCATTTTCATGTACTGCAATCATAATATAACCCAAAATATTGCATAGGACTAAATTGCAGGTTTTCCAAATTACATATCCAATGTATAAACAACATCAAAATAGCCCTAACATGATTCTGGATTAAAATGTAACACGCTGGAAATTACGAGGCAAAATTAACATTACAATAAAGTTGGATTTAGGGACCAACATGCAACGGGTTGAACTTACTGGACCTCACACACGATTAACCCAACCATCCCAAAACACAGACAGCTCCCACCCCGCAAAACGTAACCGTTTCACACCCTCGCGAGACTACGCCGTTTTGGCGTCTCAATATGTTGAATATTAGGGTAAAATTTTAAGCCCTAACTCATTTTTCCTCTTAACCCTGGCCGGATACCCCGCCGTTTCCTCTCAAATCCCTCTCTTCTCTCTTCGCTTAACCCTACGCGAAAGTCGAGCCTCCGTCGCCTCCACCGTAGCAACCGCCATGGTTGCTACCTCCATACGGCCCCGACGAGAACACCTCTCCGAAAAAAACCCAAAACCAAAGGGGCTAAACTAAACCCTTACCTTACTGCTAAACCACGCGACCCTAGCCCCGTTACCCGGTCAAACTATGACCAATCCTGTACTGAACCCTTCAAATCCCTAAAGCCCGAGACCTAAAACCAACATGCACGACTCGAAATCAATGGGAGATGAAAAGTTTTACCTTCTCAAAGACGGGGTATGGATTCCTAGTGACGAAAGCTACTGGATCGGAAGGGTAAGTCTCTTTTGCTTTCGTTTTGTTCTCTGGTTGTTGATGAATGATCTTCTGGGTATTTCCTTTGTGTGTTCTTTTGGGTTGTATTTGGTTTCTTTTTATGTTTGAGAAATTTTAGATTTTATTTTTTTTTGTTCTTCTCTGTTGCTGATGACCGAGAGAGCCCCGTTACCCCCTCCCTTTCGTTATTTCTAGTTGATCTCTTCTTCTCTAGTTTTGTTTTCGTCTGTTTCTGCTCTCGTTTGGTGCGCTTGCAGGGCTCTGGAACGAGCAGGTCACGGGGCTTCAGCAACCTGGGCACGGGCGATGGGGAACGGACCCGAGGGACTTCACGTGGGTAGCACTCGGTTGGTTCACACACTGTCTTGGAGTTCTGAGTGCGTTAGGAGCCGTTGGATCACCTCCGATCTAACGGTGGAGGCTTCTGGGAGGATTGAGAGTCGTTGGATCATGAAGCTAGATCCAACGGTGGAGGCTCAGCTGCGCATGGAGATGGTGACAGGAAACCCTAACGGGTCTAGGGTATCCTCAAATGGGCTGTAATATTGGGCTGCTACTTTGGGCTTGAGCCTGTTGTATTTTAATGTAGGCCTGTAAAAATCAATTACTTAGTAAATCCATTTATCATAACATACTTATATGCACATATATATATATATATATATATATATATATATATATATATATATATATATATATATATATATATATATATATATAATTTCATATACCCATAAATACTTATATATATATATACATGACTACAAGCCTAACAACTCATATAATTAAATGAACGGTCAATACGTAATTAAACACACATGCCAATAATAAACTAATAATAATAGATATGCAAGACTTGGTAATATTAACTAAATAGTAATATATATAAAATGGAGTAAAAATTTGAAAGAGAGCCCCGGACAAGACGAGTATCTACAATACATTAACTTTCTATTTGGTTAAATGAAAAAATAGGATTAAATTAATGGAATCACCAACTGATTCGCCTGTTTGATCCGTGAAATTGTTGGCTTTGAATAATTCATTTAAAGGTTGCATACTTAAACGCACAAGAAACACCCAACTGCAAACAAAGATCTTACAACCATGGCAAAGTTCAACACCACAATCCAAAAGAACATCACATTTAGAATACAAATAACAAAGTCCTACAAACCTCCAAAGAGAGGGAAAAAAACTAAAATTATGGAAATCACCGATCATAGAAGGTGATTCATATGATTTCACTAGGGGTGATATTCGATTAATTCAAGTCAAGTACAATATTTTTGAGTTATTCGAGTTAAAGAGTCGTATTTTATGACTTAATCTTAATTTGTATTTTTTTCGAGTCGAGTTGTTTGAGTTTCTATAAAAATTTTATTGTAATTATTTATAATATTATGGTAAAAGTTTATTCTAATTTTTTAACTTTCTCAACCATATAATATATATTTCTTCATATTCTTTTGCATATTATAATGTTATTTAATAAATCAAATACAATCTAAAATTACAAAATATATTTACAATATTATATTTTAAAAAATGTATTTTGAGGGTAAAATATTGATGAGACTATAAAGGAGTCAAGAAATTGATGTGAAAGAAAATTTTGCAAACAATTATAGTCAAAATACTAAATTGAGTAGAATGCAAAGTTAAGGGACCAAATTGAAAAAAGTTACATTTTTAGTAAAAATAAGGAATTGAAGTTACATAGGTATTCTATAATGGTAGGAGAGCATTTGGTTCAAATTTGGTAAACTTAAAATAAAAGATTAATTGAAGAAATGAGAAAATTATGCAAAGTTGAGGGACTAAATTGAAAAAATAAAAAAAATATTATCAAAAAAGAAATTGAAATTGTGTTTGTTCTATGATGATTCAGGAGCATGTGGTTCAAATTTGATAAATATTGACTTAAAATGAAGGAGGAATTGAATGAATAAGAAATTGAAGACCAAATTGCAAATATGTCAAAATAATAATCCACATTTCCTGTTTTTAAAGTTACTCGAAATTTTAAAATTTCAACCCCGCTCGAACTCTAAAAATGATTTTAAATTAACTCAAATAACATTAAATTAAGAAAAATAAAAATTTCAAGTCGAGATATATTTCATCATGAGACTTATGATTCTCTTATCCATTGCAATAAATATGGAATCTTCAACCCTTATGCCTTCATCTTAGAGTTTAATATTTAATATTATTATTTTTGATAATTAATAGTTATATACGTGGAGTGTGCATATAATAACAAATTTATTATTATAGGATAATTTTAAAGGAAGTCAATAGTTTTAATTTTTTTATTTAAGAAAAACGAACCTCTAAACTCCTTCTAAACTTATAAGGGAAAAAGTGTCAATGGAGCTTGTATTACCATAAAAACAATCGTTGGATACAACATAATACATAAGTTTATGGCAAATTTAATCAAAATACAAAACATTACCAGACCTAAAAGCTCATGTAATTAGAGTATGGGCCACAAAATTACTAATTCTAGGAACATTACAAACCTTGAAGTATATTATAGCCTCTAGAAACTTACAAGCTTCTAGAAAGTGATAACCCAATCTGGATAGATCTTCTTCTTCTCTGGACAATTTGTTAACAACGAACGTGAAGTGTGATTTGAATATAATATGGGTCCAACTATACACGCAAACTAATGAAAGAACAACATTGAACGCGTGAATCTCCTATAGGTCAGTTTTAACACAATTTGTCGATGTCGTAGCCGTTCGTCCAATTATAAGAGGTCAAAAAGGAATAAATTGAACATTTTAGAGTCCAAGAGTCGTTGGAGAAACAAGATCTGAGATGGGGAACATTAGTCGAGTTTAAAGAGTAAATTAATATTTTTTTTAAAAATTAGAAGATTTAAATAATGTTTTATCTAAGATTTAAAGATGAAATTAATGTTTTATTTAAAATTAAGAAATTAGAATTAAAAGTTTACCTCTTTTATTAATATCTCATATCAGTCAAAAACAGACTAAATTTAGCTTTTAGATGATTTAAATATTGTATATTAAAAATATGAATGATCAAAATACTATTTTTTAAGAAAACTCGGCATACTTTTTGACCTTTTAAAACAACAAACAGATTTTTTACGACGGAATACGATATGTTGCTGAATTAATTTTTGAGCAGCACATAGTTATGAAAAAGATACTCTTAAAATCAAATATCCGAAGGAAGAATCAACGACTAAATGTTGATCTAACTAAACAAAATAAATTACTTGTCCACAACCCAAAGAACAAAAACTTAAACAAAGCCATCACCATCCGCCGCTGCTGCCACCATCACCGCCGCCTCTAAAATACTGCTGGACAGCCACTCTCATATCGTCGAACCCTTCACACCACTCAAAGAATTTCACCAACTTCTGCAACTCCCTATCCTCACCGTCCTCCACAAACGGTCGTATTGGAACAGCGTTCTCGGGTTGCAAAGAGTAAGCATTAGGGTTATCATCAACAATCACCACTTTCCTCAAATCCCTCCCCATTTCAGACAAGTCCTTAACCAGCTTCCCTTCCATTTCCTTGCACGAATCCCGATACAGCCGGTGCGATATCAGACCCTTGGGATCGAGCTTATCCAGAACAAGCGAAGCATAATGCTCGAGCCCCGCCGTGAACACCACCACCTCGTATTTCTTGCTGATTTCTTCCAAGAAGGAATCGACACCGGGCCGTTTCGACACGTAAAAATTCATCATTTGACCTTCCATGCTCGGCCTCACTATAAAATTGTACATTTTGGGAGGCGCGTCGGAGCTGGAATGCACCAGGGTCTCGTCTAGATCAAGAACGATGGTTCTTTTCGTCTCGAATATCGACGGCGGAAGCAGGCAACGGTCGAATACAAGGGTACGAGGAACGATGGAATTGCTCCCTATTTTGAGGATTTTGAATCCGCGGAGGCGGCGTTTGGTGGTCGAAGGAGTTGCTATGCGAGCTAACTTGGAGAAAAGCCTCACGAGGCGGCGATGGCATGTCTTGAGGGACTTGTTGAGGGAGGCGATGACGGTGGATGAAGCATTCTTCTTCGTCGGAGAAGTCTTTCTACGGTGGCGCTTGATGGATCGTGGCGGAGTTCTCTTAATAATCTTGGAAACCATTTCTTCATAGAAGCGAAAGAAGAAACAGATTTTAAAAACAGGGTACTGAGTTTTCCTTTAACGTGTATTTGGAGAAAGGGGAGGCTCGTCTTTGTAGTCCGTTATTTTTTAAATATTGGTTTGGAGTAACGGTCATGAAGATAGGTTCGGAGTCCAAGCTGGATTTTCAACAGCTGAGCAACAGGCCGGTTTGGTTCTGTCTTATTTCAAAACTTAAAGTTTATGTTTTTATTTTTTTTTATATAGAATTGAGTTTATGTATTTTTTTTTGTTTTAAAATTGAATATATACATGATTTAGTTTAAAAATTAAACAAACATTATGAGAGGATCCAATATTTTTAAAATTAAAAATAATACAAAAAAATTAATTTTATAAAAATAAAATATATAAATTAAAATTTAAAAGTAATATATGAACCTTTGTTTTGATGAGGAGATACATTAGTAAGAGTTTATTTTTTTGATACAAAAAAGTTTAGGTAAGGGGTGACTCCTCCAGTCCAGGGTCAGAGTATATCTAAGACCCAATTAGGATTTATATAAAATTTACATACTGCCCACCAAAATTGACGATAATATGATTGGAACTTGAAAAAATAGTTTATTTCTAATATGGCTTGTTTGGGTCTAAGAATAACGTGAGGCAAAAATCAATTTTCTGAGCATGGAATTCTAGATTGATCAAGTGATAATTTGGTAAATCTTAGGAGAAGATATTTGAATGCTTTCAAATTCAATATGCATTTACCCACCTTAAGGAGTTTGAACTTGTGATAAGTGATTGCAGATTAAATTTGATCAAGTCATTATTTGATAAGTGATTTGTCAATTTATTATCGTTGTTACCCCATAGTTGTTTTAGAAGTTGAGGTGATGATTCAATTGGAACCGATTCTCTTGTTTGGAGGATCGTCTTTGTAGCTTTCATCTCACTTTTTTTTTGGGATTCCATACTTATTCAGTGTCCTTGGATAGCAAAGTTGGGTTTTGATCCTAATTTGGAGGAAGAGACGAATAAGTGATCCCAAAGTTTAATTCTCAAGTAATTTAGGCTATTTCTGAGCCTTGGGAAAATAGTTATCGAATATATCAAACAAAAAACACTTGTTTGAAAGAAACAAAAAGAACCCATGGCACTTCATCGTTATAAATAGGGGGAAAAGTGTGTGCATGGCATTTTGATTACTACAGATGAAAAAAGAATCTGTAATACTTTTGTGCAAAGTTTGGAAAAGGAAAAAAACCCTTATCCAAACAGAAGAGATGTATATATCATATATATATGTTTTTATATGCTTCATTGAGAGGTTTTTGATGAACTCCGAGGCTGCGTGGTTTTATCACCACCATAATATTGCTTAACTGCATCTCTCATGTCCTTAAAATCATCGCAATACCTTTGGAAAAACTGAGTCAGTTTCTTCAATTCCGTGTCTTCCATGTCATCTTCAAATCGTTTTATGGGTATCCCGTTTGCAGGTTGCAAAGAATATGATTTAGGGTTATCATCAACAATCACTACCTTACCAAGATCTCTGCCCATCGTTGACAGGTCCTCGACCTATTTGCTTGCATGAATCTCTGTACAAGCGGTGAGATATAAGGCCCTTGGAGTCTAAAACATCAAGCAACAACGACGCGTATGGCTCGAGGCCGGCGGTGAACACCACCACCTCGTATTTTTTATTGATTGCTTCCAAGAATTCATCCACCCCGAGCCTTTTCAATACGTAGAAGTTCAAAATGTTTGGTTTAATCATGAAATCATACATTTCTGGTGGTGGGTCTGGAACTGAATGAACCAGGGTCTCGTCCAAATCGAGAACGATGGTCTTCATGTTGTCGGAAACTAACGGAGGCAACCACTTCCTATTGCTTTTTCTTGATACAAGAACGTTAGTCAGATCGGAATCAGCCTCGAATTCGAGTTGCAGTCTAGGTCTATATCGGGTTTCGAAGAGGCCACTGCCGAATTCTTCCCTCCGAAGGAAGCCTTGCCCTCGGCGCCTTGCGCCTTCCTGTCTGCAGAAAAACTCAACCAGGCGACGGTGGCATTTTCGGATGGACTTCTTTATGGAAGAAATGACGGAGAAATATTTGGTTTTCAACGTAGATGATCTCTTACAATGATGAACAAGGTGGCGAGGAAGCAACTGGCGCCGCTGGTGATGCTGGCCGTAATGGCCGCCGCGAGTGATGGACTTTGGTTCCACCTTTTTTCTCATCTTCAATGTCATCTCCTGGCTGCCGATATTAACCTGAAGCTGATGGGGAATAATTACTGAGAGTTAAGAAGAAAATCGAAACCATACAAAATTACAGACAAAAAAAAATAGCGACGTTAAAATCTAAGAGATGAGATCCGATCCGAGAGGGACGAGACTAGATACAAAGCTTTTGAAGCAATGTTCGGTACAACGGTGATCCCTGTTAGGTCGGAACTCGGAAGTAAAAGCTGGATTTCCAACCAATTTGGTCAATTATTTTCTTCAAAACAATATTTATTTAATATTTAAATCTATTTTTTACATCATATTTTAAAAATATCCAAAAAAAAAAAAAATTCCAACCATAATACTAAACTAGTCCCAGATATTGAAGTTATTTGTTAGGGTTGTCACCGTACCGGCAACAATAATGCATGATAGCAAAGGATTAGTTTTCTATGCCTTAATAAGAAACGTGACTGAAGTATAGAATTTTTGTAGTTTAAGTAATAGTTTCACGCTTCCAAATTTTGTGCAATGGGAATTCCACAATTCCAAGAATGTTGAAGTTGGACAACGAAAGACTGAAGCTGGCCTTACACAATATGAGTTCTGCTAGTTAAGGTTATATGATTGAATCAAATAATATTGTCAGTTGAAAAAAAGATACTCATTAGCAGTTCAAGACCCCAAGATGCTCAGCTTGAAATTAATGTCTAACAAACACAACTCTAACTGGCTTGGGCTTGTCTATGTTGAGTCTCCCAACAATTTTCTCAATATATTACTCTTAAGAAAACTATAACAATTTCTTGAAAGCGATCTATATAATTCCAATGATTTATTTTGATGATCTCAAATCCTTCATGACAAAAGAATTGTTTGACGTCTTCTTAAGAGAATCAATTTTCCTTTTGTCATTCCCAACAATTAACATATCATCTACGTCTGGACATAACATCAGGAAATTAAGAAAATATACTACAGACAATTTCCGAACCCAACACTACCTAAGAGATAGCTCATTAATGGAAACCTCATTGCGGGACAATGGTAGTAACTCCGCGTTGGAATTGTTCGAAATTGAAGCAAACGACGATGACCTGTCGGATTCGAAGTTGCTCTGCATAGCAAACGCCGGTTGTGATGGAACTGTAAGTGTGGTCGAGAAGCTATTCAGCATTAGAGCAACCGAAGCCATGGTTGGTCTGGCTGCAACGTTCTCTTGAACACATAGCAATGCAATATGGATGCATCTCATTATCTCCATTCTCGAACCATCGCCCAACATCGGATCGACCAGATCCAAAGCTGTGCCTTCCCTCCAACTTTTCCATGCCTGCTAATGTCCAGTAATTAAAACAATGAAACATAATCATTTTAACATGGCTTAAATTAGCCTTTAGAAATCATTTACTTACAAAGTTCAGTATGTATTCTTGATCCTCCCCGTGACGGAAGCAATTGTTCTTCTGGCCACTGATAATTTCGAAAAGTAATACGCCGAAGCTGAAGACATCTGATTTTACTGAGAATTGTCCATTGATAACATATTCTAGATCCCTATATCCACTGCATTATGCAAAGCTTCATGAATACAGCTCATTTACATATGTATAGCATCTAAGAAGTTCCTATGTAGTCTTTGAACTTACTATGTTCCTACAATTCTGCTAGTGCTGCCTTGCGTTTCGTCTTGTCCGAACAACCTGACCATCCCGAATTCAGCAATTTTAGGAACCATCTCTGCATCTAACAAGATGTTCCTTGCTTTGAGATCGCGACGGATAATCCGAAGCCTAGAGTCTTCGTGGAGGTAAAGGAGTCCACTAGTGATGCCTCCGGTGATTTTGAAACGTGTTTCCCAGTCTAGTTGAGGACGCTTAATCCGATCTATACCATCACAAAACTTTCAGATTAGTTGAATAAATTCAGTGTTAACATAAGTGCTTGCTGGTGGATATGCAGTTAAAAGGAAAAATATGATGGGGAAAACGAAAAAATTGAACCGAAAATGCTTTGATCGAGGCTTGCGTTTGGCATAAACTCATAGATCAGAAGCAGTTTCAGACCATGCAAGCAGAAACCAAAGAGCCGAACTAAATAGAGGTGTTGAAGCTTGGCAACTAATGCGACCTCCGTCTTAAACTCTCTGTCTCCTTGTCCAGATCCTCTAGGCAGTCCTTTCACAGCAATCTCTACTCCATTTGTCAGCTGACCCTGAAAATTAGTATACCATTGAACCATAAGGTAGTTTACATATGATATTTACTCTTTTCTGATAAATAAATGCTGATATTTTCCTTGTAAACAGCTCGAATCCTCCTTGACCAAGCTTATTAGCATCGGAGAAGTTATCGGTTGCTACCAAAACAGAATCGAAGTTGAATTGCAAGGAATCAATGCCAGACATCTCACTATCCGCAGGCGCTGCTGCAAAAAAGCAAATAATTATTGTACAGTTTCTTCTGCAGCTGGTTTATTATACTTGAATCTCATGATCAGTTTACTTACTTTCAGCATTTACTGGTACGGGTTTGTTTCTCCTGCGTCTCATTAAAATACAGGTGGAGATGAAAACTAGTATGAGAACGGCAACAACCGAAGCAATCACAATTATTACAGTTGGAGTTGTTCCATCCTCATTTCCTACAAAACACAGAGTTAGAAGGGTATCATTCAAAGGTCAAACTTCAATGTTTCAAAGATAAGCCGGCCTTCAATCGATCTTTTACCTCCGGTTGGAGATGGCGGAGGAGACGGCAGAGGAACCGCAGTTTCATTATAAAATGGGTTAGACTCAAACCTCGAGACACAGTTTGGTCTAAGAACCCTGCATCCAATTCTTCCATTGCAACACTTCAGAAGCTCAGACTGAGCGAAAGTTAGGCAAGTATCGCAATTTAGCTGGTTCATATCAGTACACTGCACCGTAGCGTACACCCTTTCCTGGTTACCAGTCGATGCATTACCAGCTACATACTTGCGAAGAGGACCGGCAGCCGCAGCCTCGTTCCTGAGGTTGTCCAATAGATCACTTAACGCGCTATTGAAGTGATCAGGGTTCGACGCATTCCTCTGGTTGAATGCGCACATGTGCGAGGATCGTTCTCCAACAGCCCGTACAGGTCTCGGTTGGCGTACCTCACCAAACAAAATTCGGAACAAGCGGTGGCGGCCTTGTTGAAGGGACATAATCGCTTGAGCTCGGTCGCGGTGTAGTTGAGGCAAGTTTTGCAATCGGCTTGGTTCATGTCTCTCCTGCAACCATTGAGGGAACGTCTTCCGACAGAGTGAAAAAGCCGTAACTGAATACAGTGAGAGTTGAGAATCGAGAGATGATGCTATTGAGGTTGGCTTCGTAAGCGCTGTTTGCGCTGTAATTTCCACTGGCTTCATTACATCTGCGCTCAAGATAAACATCAACAGCAGGATGCTTTGAAAGAGCAACAACAGCAAGGGCAAAAAGAAGTGAACAATGAAACAGAAGAAATGTTGGAAGTCCCCATTGCCCTCCTTCACTATTTTTTGCCAGTGGAACTACAATATTGTATTCGGATTGTTACTGAAATTCAGGGGTGTTAGAAATTCTAAATTTCGGTGTCATAATTTTAAACAAATCTAAATAAAATCATATAAATCAATGCATAACACTAAAACTTGATATGTAAAATATAACGTAAGTAACGTAAGATTATCATAAAACTGTTAAAACAATAACTAAAAGTATTGATATAATGATAATGAAACATACCTTTAACAGAAGAAATATTGAAACAAAGAAAAAAAATTAACTTATCATATAATGAAATAAACATTGAAAATAATGGATATGCATTGTCGCAATAAAAAAATCATATAGATTAAATGCAACTATTCAAACGAAAAAAATGAACTTATTAATCTATCATAGTCGATAACATAGTTTAAGGAATCATGAAACAAGCACATACACTTTTGGCTCTTTTTTGGACAAGTACCAAAGATTACATGCCAGCAGGTACTTCCACTTTGAAACAGATTAAAGTTGCTACCGATGACTTCGATCCTGCTTACAAGATAGGAGAAGGTGGTTTCGGTCCTGTTTTCAAGGTGCCTAGCTCAATGCTATATGAAGATCCTTTTAGTATTAGTTCTTATTTTACTCAATATCTGAGAATCTGATAAAGTTTGGGGGTTCAGGGTCAGTTACCTGACGGTACCAAGATTGCAGTAAAGCAGCTCTCCTCTAAATCTCGGCAAGGGAATCGTGAATTTCTGAATGAGATTGGGATGATATCTTGTTTACAATACCCAAATCTTGTCAAGCTTCACGGATATTGTGTTGAAGGGGATCAATTGCTACTAGTGTACATGGAAAACAATAGCCTCGCTCGTGCATTGTTTGGTGAGTCTCGCATCACGCACTCGTCCTTTTCCTTTTCATTCTTTGTAACATTTAAAGATCAATACATGATTAACTGATGTCAGTCGTCATGTTTCTCATTGTCATAACCATTTTTAGGTGAAACCATTATTTATAGTTTTAAAACCGATGATGACTTTAATTTGGAAGATTTGACGTTTTTTTGAATTGATTTGAATAAAAATAAAAAGGGAGTCGCCATCGACTTTTGGATTAGTTAGGTCGAATACCCAAACGTCTTTTTAAAACAATTTTAAGGAAAAATCGTTTTTTAAGACTGAAGTGGTTTGCGTTTACCAAAGATTCGATTTGATGGGTTCGGGAGTCGGTTACGCGTAGGGAAGGATTAACACCCCCACAACGCCCAAAAACTGGTATTGAATTGCTTACACGTTGTCGAAATGGTGGAAAATATAAATCGAATATAAAGTTAAGAATGATCCGTTTATCGAACATTGATTAATTTGTTTCAAATCCATTAATTAGAGAAAATTCTTTAACTCGAAAAGAAATCTCAAAATTAGCAATCTCAAAATTAGCAATCCTCTGTCGGGAAAGCTAACTCGACTATTTCTCATTTATAAAGAATATTCCTATCCGATTTAAAAATATAAATCGAATATAAATTGACAATAAACATTTGCGTGAAATTAAATTGCTATTTAGCAACATGCATCACATTGTTTAACTTAAAATAAAAGAATAAAATCAATTTTATTTCAAGTATACATTTGTTCGAACGTCGTATCAGATTATACCACTTCGATCAAGCGATGCTTTCTACGCCCATTCTACAAATCGTTATTCTTGACAATATTTGAGTGAGAGACATTGAAATTATAAAAATATTCATGATCTTACAAATATTAATTATGCAACCAGAAGACAAAGAAAATATATACAAATTTATATATATATAAAAACACAAATATAACAAGGGTAGAATAGATTTAATAAATATATGTATATAAGTATATAGGATACGATGTGTGCATGTAATGAAACAAATAACAAAAAAAGTATTACATATGTACGTACACTCTATAATATATACATGGATATTATAACATGGACTGGAATGTAAATATACAAACATGGTAGATCATAATGAGAAAAAATAAACTACGTAAGCTTTATAAATATGTGACTAAATAGAGAAGATGAAAACTTTAAATGCCTAACAATTAACATAGCAAGAGTCATAATACAGATACAAATACAAATACCATATGGCAGGAGCATTGGAATGGTAATAAAACCAAAATAATATTTAGGACTAAAACAGAAATTATTAAAATCATGCACCAAATATATAAACAACACAAAATATAAATAAACAAGCAAAAGGACTAAAAAATAATATAGGTAAAATGAGAAGGAAAAGTCATAACTTCATAAATAATAGTCGACTCTAACACAAGGAAGCAAGAACTCAAAACCTTAAAAGGTAATTAACCCATTTTTATTCAACCTAAACTATTTCCTCTCATTTTCCCACGGCCACTCTTACAAAACAAAGGGAGAGAGCTCTCCCCAGCCCTCACAGCCGTTCTTTTCCTCCACCTCTATAGTCGTCGCATGCGATGCCGATGCAAAAGAAAATGGTTCAAAACGAAACTTCTCGGATCCCGAACCTAGAAACGACCCTTAAACAAAACTCATGTCCCTTCGATATAAAGTTTAGGAGTGTTACCCTCTAAGAACTTAAAGATGCTTGGCTTCGACGAGGAGGACCGCGGTGGTCGGACAAAAAAAGGGTAAGCTTTCCACGGTCTCTCTAGTTTCTTCGTTCTTTTTTTGTTTCGAAAGTCGTCTCCCTTTCTCTCTCGATTTCCTTTTCTCCCCCTTTTCGTTTTCTGACTTTTGTTGATATATAGTGTGGTGGCTTGCGTTTGAGGCTGCTGACGTGGAGATGGAAGCATGGGGGTATGGGCAGTCATGGCGTTGGTGGAGCAGACAACAGAGTGGGTGAGCAGAGTATGGGAAGCCACACGGTATGGGGGTTGATGGTAGTGGTCGACTAACACAGGCATGGGAAACTGCACAGCTTTGGGAACAACAAGGTATGGAGTAGTACGGAGGAAAAAAATTGGTTACTACAGTTGCCCCTCTTTGCTCATTGCTGTGAAAACATGAATAGAACAAAGACATAAAACACCAATTTTTGGACTGTCAACAAGTCTCGAGCTCCGAATTCTTCTTATTGTGAACTCTTCACTCTCTTTTTAAAGGCATTAGTTGAGGTTGAAAACGACGCTGCTCATTTACATTGAAGAGATCTGATCGCTTTCATGTAAATTATTTGCTGAAGATGACACAATTCCTTCTCGTTAAAGAAGTCTAGTCAATTTGGAGATAATTTGTTGCTGAAGATGACACTGCTCATCTGTGATGAAGAGTTCTGATCGTTTTTAGGTAAATTTGGAGATAACACGGTTCCTTCGAGATGAGGATGTCTGGTTATCTAAAGGTGACATTGCTCCTTCGCGTTGAGGAGATCGGG